TGAAAAAAATACGTTTGTTTTTGAGGCGACCGAGTCGGGCGATCGGCCATCCCATCCGTAGTGGGCACCCCGTTTTACTCTGCTCACCTCTCTAGTCTTAACAGCACAAAGTCCGCTTCGACTATCAAGGAGCCCCGGGAAATAGCAGTTCACAAAAGAGTGACAAAAGGACAAAAGAAACAGATAATAAAATGACGATAGTAAGGATGGGGAAAGAATAAGCAGCAATTCCACCAATGTTGTTTCAGCACAGTATGAGCATGACATTGATAGTTTTAGTAAGAGTTTCACGGCACTTGCCACACAATATGGTCATATAAGTGCCGAAGATTAGAGATGTTACAAGAGAGTAACAAACACAAAAAAGGAGGAGAGATAAGGATGAAAGATATTTTTTAGGAAAGAAGAAGCAAACCACACCAGAGCACCCGCCAACCACCCACTGACATTGATAAATCAGCCCATAAACAATTTTGTGTGCATAAGAAGATGCTAATATCCAACCTTTGGGAATGAAAGGTGAAGGAAACTATCAATTCTTAAGATTCTATACAAAAGTATGTTGCGTCACTGAATTTAGTATGAGAACTACTATATTATAAGAATAGATCCACTAAGTGTACACACAGATCTACCTGGAAATATAACGAAAAGAAAGGGTTTTTTAAAGTTTTAGTAAGAGTTTTATGGCACTTGCAAAACAATAAGGTCATAAAAGTGCTGAAGATTAGAGGGGTTACAAGAGAGTAACAGACACAAAAAAGAAGGAGGAAAGATCAGGATGATAGATATTGGATAGGAAAGAAGGAGCAAAACACACCAGAGCACCCGCCAACCACCCACAAAGCAAGTTTACACGTTCAACAAATTAATGCAACGATTACATAAACACCATTCTCATTGCTAACAACAACAACAACAACAACAATAACAACTACAACACCAGAAACAACAACAACAACAACAACAACAACAACAGCAGCAAAAGCAGCAGAAGCAGCAGCAGCAGCAAATTAACTCAACACAACCACACCCCCATCACCACCACTTCCACGACCACCACTAGCAACAACAACAACAACACTTTATTATTAGAGTAGAGGGTTTTACGGATCTCGCAACTGCATAAGGTCATATGAGCGCCAAAAAACAACACTAACAACAATAATAATAACAACAACAAGCCAAAGACCTGGTAGCCGAGAATCTTTCCCTTGGCGTACTCCCTGGTCTGCGGTACAGGTGTCCACGTGACCTCCATGGCCGAGCCGTTATAACCGTCCGCATAGACATTGGTCGGAATGGCGATAGGCACTGAGACAGAAATTGAGCAAAAGAGGAAACATAACAGCTGAAAAACATAACTTTTTAGAAAGGGAGAAAAAAAGCAATAAATATGTGGTAATTATGTTGTTCTAGTAGAGGTTTTATGGCGCTCGCAACTGCATAATAAGGTCATATGAGCGCCAGAAGATTAGAGGTGTTACAAGGGAGTAATTATTTTTCCTGTATTGGAAAAGGCAAAAAGAAAAGAAAAATATTCATTCCGACGGCGGTGAAATAGAATGAGAGATAATGTACACAAAATAATATACCACACACAGTTCTGAAAAAGAAAGAAGAAAAGGATCTCTCGTCGAAGTGAAAATTCTTTTTAAAAGGGGGGGGGGGATGACACAATATTATTGAACTGAAATAGAAAGGCTGAAAGAGAGTCCTCACTGACAATCTAAAAAATAAAATGTATAGGCAGACAGAATGCACTGATCAAGTCCATCACACAGGAAGAACGCACAGAGAGCCACAAATGACGCTCGCTACTCAGAAATCCAGAACAAGACGAACAGAGAAACAAAACAGACACACAAAGTCGCAACTCACAATCCTCAGCAGACATGATAGTGACCACAGTGGAGTTAGGCCCATAGCCCAGGTCGTTGAACGCTTGAACTTTGAACTCGTACTCCAGATAGTAGTTCTCCACCCCAACAAGTTCCACATGGTGGTCGTGACGACCCAGCAGCTTTTTCTGTGGAAAAGACAGTTGGTATTCCAACAGGGATCATAAAACTGACAGATGAAGAAATAGTTTCAAGTCTCGCAGCTCTAAGAGTGCGATCAAAGATAAGGCATTCAACCAGAGACTTTTTTTGGTAAGAGTTTTACGGCACTGGCAACACAATAAAGTGCCGAAGATTAGAAGTGTTACAAGGGAGCAACAAACACAAAAAAGAAAGAGGGGAGATAAAGACGATAGATGTTTAAAAGGAAGCAAACCACACCAGAGCACCCGCCAACCACCCACACCATTAAGGGACTGAATGTAACAAAGTTGGAGAAAATGGCCTGGGACATACATGCAGGATGTCGACTGTTCTCTGCCTTGAGTACCTGATAGTTCAGGGATAAAGAGTATGTAAGTGTGCC